TGTCAACTTTGCTTGGAGACATGATGTACATGAGCAGTGTTGCCACTTAAAACAAAACAGAACAATGCAAGCAAGCTGTACATTTAAACAGCGATGAGATACATTCTTTAGACAATTTAATCCATACTTCCTGAAAGTGCTTCTACAAGAAGTCCACTTAAAAAGCACCTTTAAAAATCCTTTCAAACAAATTATATTGTTTTGTTTACTAGTATTTGTTTCTAAGTTTAATATTTTATTTTCAGGATTTGCATACAAATTTTTTGAACTCCATTTTATAAAGAGAATATTTTAATTAAATTCATTTTAAAAATACTCTAACACTGTTTTAACAATTAATAAATAACAATTCTCTCATAAACGAAAAAGACAAAAAAGTAATTTTTAATGATTCAACCACCTTTCAAACTCTCCTTCTGATTCACATTATGCCAACACTTCTATAACTTCTCCCCCTCGGATTCTTAACTCCTTTCTCTTCACATCTCTCAGAATTTGTTCCCCTTCCTTTGATCTATAAAGTTGAGATTTCACAGATATTATTTGATAAAAAACATTTTCTTCTTTACTTCCAAAAGTACTGCTTAATTGTTTCAGAATTTTTTTTTTGCAAATTGTATCAGTTTTGTCCTCTATAAAGTTTTCTGTATGAGATTACTTAAACGTACACATCTTTTCTCTCTTAATCTTCAACTGTCCTTCAAAAATGTTACTTATCAACTCTATGAACCATTGACCACCAGCGAAATTTCCAGCTTCGAATTTTTCTTGTGCTTCTTCGATCAGATGGGGACTTCACTGAAGGGTTCTGGAAATTATTCCCTCCAGCCGCGAGCTCTTACCTTTTGCCAACTCTACTTGGTATACAATGGAGGGACAATAAGCCCTTGTGTATGTGGGAAAGGGGAAGATGATACATTCACAAGATCGTATGCAGCATTTACATGGAAGTGATGGGACACTATGGCCGACATTGGTCACTGAAGTGTCAGACAATTAATGTCTGTTTTCATGAGCGTAAAACTGGAAGAGAAATAATCTGCAGACACCTTGTCCATAACAATTGTCCTGTTACATTTAAATGTAGAACAAGATTTTATATGGTGTTCTATTAAACAGAACTTTATTTTTTGCAACTGATTATTAGGGCTCAGACGTTTGGCAAAATGCTTCTTTTAATTTTAGGATTTTATGACTTAATAATAGTAATCATTAATTGTACTTCTGGAGTTGTTTTAATAGATTTTCATTTGGTCTTTTTTGCCATTTTTTAGTGTAATTTCAATCAATCCCATTTTTGGTATTTTGCTTTTATAATTATTTTTCTCCTGGCACTGACCTCAATCAAGCTGGAAACATACCTTACAACATGAAGGCATAATCATGTTTTGGCTTTTTGTGGAAGTGGAGGCTCTAGGGCCAGGTAGTGTTAAAAATGTAAATGAGAAACGAAGATGATACCAGACAATTTTTTTTATTTTCATTGATACCACTGTCTGGCTTTGTTCACTCGTGAAGAATCCCTTTCTACATTTGAGTATAGCCCCCCAATTCCTTTTCAGGTCAGTAAAGATATTAATTGTACTCTTCTCAGTGCTGGAGATTACACATGTGTAAAAAATAAAAACTGCAATTCCAGTTTCACAGATGCCAATTCAAGATTCAAACAGGAATTCAAATAGCATTTCCTACAGACTGTGTCATGAGTAATTCGTAGTCATCATATAGGGTGTTCACAGGTTGCAATCAAGATTATAATGAAATGATTATTTCCATGTGAGTAGTAATGTAAATTTTAGAGTTAAAATAAAAATGTGAATCACTGAAATATTTTTTTTTACAATAATTCCTTTTCAATAGAGCATTTTCATTTTTTAAATGCCTTTTGCACCCCTACTGTAACCAGAATAAACACCCTTTTTGCTTGTCTATTTTGGTAAAAATAAATGCACTTTAGCCTGCCTCTTTACTGTAGAATGAACCTGAACTTCTGATCTCTATTAATTATATATTGATCTTGGCCCCCCACTGAGTTACCGCAGTAGGGATTATTATTGCAATTATTTCGAAACGACCGAAAAGAAGCGTTGGACAAAATAGTAAACGTCGACATCTCGGTGCTAATAACCCATTTGATGATGGAAGATCCAGCACAGTATCGGGATTTCCTACGATTTGATTCTTCTCAAATGAACGAATTTGTACTGGTTATGTTGTCAAGCAAGACAATGAGAAAATATATTTTTACCCAATAAAATTTCGTGGTGACACTTCGCTTCCTCCCATCGTTTATGAAAGTGAGGTTAGATTCACCAGTAGAAATGAATGTGGCAGCTAAAGTATATCCTAGAGCATTCTAATGCATCATATGATTAAATCCTAGTACTTTCTAAACTTAATATAATTTGGAATAAATCCCAATCAGATTACAGGTAATCATGATTACATTTTATACGAAATGGGTTTTTTGTGGTAAATACTATATTAGCTTGCGTACTATTTACGTAGTATAAAGAAAGTATTGTTGTGCTGTAGCAAAAACACAGCTGTTTTTCGACAAAAAAACTCTTTGGGACTCTTAATACCGAAAAAAATGGTTAACTCTCGATCATATATGCAGTACACAACTTCCTCAAACACTTGGCATAATACCGAAAAATTGATACGTTAACTAAGTCAACTTCGTTTCAACAATGCTAGCGGCCAAACAGTACGCAGGATTTTCACCGTAACTGAACTGATATCATCGATCAACCTGGTTGATGTTGCAGCCCCCTGAATTTGAAAAAGATAGTTGATTTTTGTGAAAACGCATATAGCCCCGAGCATTTTCAAAATTGCCTCAAATGTGGCTCCAATATTTTCTTCTTGATAGAGCAAACTACCCTCATGGTAGTGGCGCATATAATGGCGGATGTTCCATTATCGTCCAACTCTTAATTTCCAAAAATTGCAAAAGTCACAAATAATGGCAAATGTATGTGCTGTTGTGGTCTGCTTGCTAATATTTTAAACATACTAACAGAATTTGTAAACATTAATCCCTGGTGTTAATGTTTTGGATTATCAACATAGTATATAATTACTATCTATTTTGAATATATTACAGAACTTGCTATGCTTATCATCAAATTAAAGTAATATGTTTTTAGAATATTGGTATTATTACTGTAGTATATTAGTGGACAATTCATTAACGGAAGTGTTATTTTAAATGATTTCAATACAAGTTTGTGCATTCAGCTAAGAAATGTGAAGAGCACAATTGGTAAATATGTGCCTAATAATAGCTGCATTTGGGAATTCCTAGGACGTTATTGATTTTCTGAAGCCTCCATTTATGGAATAAAAATTTATTATTCTATCATTGACTTATTTGAATTGAATTAACATTGAATAACTCTGCAACTACCACGGGGTAAATTCCCTTTTCAACACGACCACGATTTGCTGCACTAAAAGTCCAATAAAAATTTATTCAATCAAGCCTTAGTTGTCCACAAGTTTATCTGAGCATGTATATTAAAATGATGGGAAATCCAAACTAAATCAAAAATATCCCTACTCACATTTCCCAACCTTAACCTCAAAGACTGTCCTCGGCACCATTCTTTCTGCCTTCTTCCTTGAATCTTCCAACTTGAAATTTATTGTTATTAGTGATAACACTTCCCAAAATATTCTGTTCATATACTGACATCAACAAAACTGTTTCCCTTTATTAAATTAACATCATCTGTAGACCTATTTCTCTTTTAAGATTCTATTAAAACTGGTATTTTTACACATGACCACCTCTCCCAATATCACGAGTACTTCATTATTTGCCACATAAAAATAACTGGTTGTAAATATAAGATTGTGATAATCATATAAATAAGTACATGTTAGCATAGTAAACATTGTTAGTATGCTTTAGTGAGTTATTCCATAAAATTGGGTTATTCTCAGACATCACAATTAACAATTTGATTTTCTCTTCACTTCAGTTTACCACCACATGAGGCTGGCCTTCAAAACCCAATAGAAACTTCTGAACATTGATAAAACTGTTCTGCTATTCCTGACTACAGACACTAAAGTGTCTGCATCCATTTACATTAACAAATGAATTCTGTTGCCTGGCAACATCAACTTGTGTTCAGCAATTTATTTAATGACTTTCCATGAGGACTGCCCACGTGCCCACCAGTGTCAGATATTTATTCTTTGAAAAAAAAAAGGGTTTCAGGTCAATGCATCTTTAAACCAGGCAAAATAAATTCTCCACATTGGTCAAATAATCATACTAATAACATCCATCTCCCCACATATATATTGACAAAGAAAGCCAAGTATTTTGGTGTACTCTTGCTTCTTGTCTAACAGCACTCCTGTGAACTCCAAAGAAACTACAATTGCTGGTATTTTTACCTATTATGTGAAGACAAGTCATCTTAGTACAAAAAACTTTTTTTTTTTCAATTCTAGCAGATGAGTTTTTGCTTTAAAGTGTCCATTTAACAGTTGAAAGATTCTTCAGGAACATTCTATGTAGCACAAATGTCCTATTATACAGCCCACACAACCTTTTATCCCACAAAATTAAGTTTTAGTGAGCCACATGATGGTGGCAAAGAAAGATCATTGGAAACTATGACCTCTTTATGTTAGTTCAGAGAAAGGTTCCACTGCATTAACCACAATAACAAAAAGATGTTTCTCTAACATTACAGACATTTTTAATTTCAACTATACATACATGAGAAATACTTTTCAAGCACGATTCATCATAAATATATTCATTTAAAAAGTTATAATTTAAATTTCTATCCATCTTTTTTCATTTAAAGAGGAAAACTGACTTTCTAAGCACATCAGAATAATAATTGGGAAATTGATCATTTTCAGTGAAAATCAATATTTGTTATGCTGAACTTCTCTAATCTACATAATCATATTCATTTGCATCAAAGATAACTATTTACTCAAAGATGTTTGTAATATTTTGATTCACTTACCATTTTAATGGCAACATGCTCATTGTTATATAGATTTTTTCCTGAAACAAAACATACAAGTTAGAGAAAAAGAAATGAATTTATTTTTAAAACTTCCCCCTATCACTCATTAAAATGTGTCATCATTCAACAATTTATACTACTGTCAAGCATATTGTATTGTTGCACAAACAATGAAGTAACAAAGTAGTTTGATAATACTACACCAAGGTGCTTATATGGAAAGCTGACTTGCACCTCAACGGAAATGACAAAATCGCTCTTTCAACTTGCTTCCTCGAATCCATGTGCACTAGGGCAAATGCTGTATGCTTTTGTCTCCAATTAAAAATTTATAGAAGTTCTCCCAACAAAGAAAAACTGGATGGAATACAAACTTACGACATAGCAATACTTTTGAAAGAAATGAAGAAAAAGTAAAGTCATGACCTTGTCAATGCAATTTCCGGAAAAAGGTTTAAACCGAGGAATGTTTACATATTCTATAAATATATTTGGTTGTAACAATATTTCTTGAAAATATACCCTTTTTTGTATTTTTCTAATGCATAAATTTGTCATTTGCTTAATACTATGATTTCTTAATGTTGAGTTTGTAATTTAAAAATGAATTATAATATTTTTTATATATGGACTAGTGAAATACATTAATAATGCAAACAGTATTTCAAACAAATTTAACAAAGAAACCCTATGTGGATTTTGAATCAACTACTTATCACTTCAAAATGGTGCATTAATCATGTCAAGTCCCCTCACTCATCTTAATTTCAACTAACAAATGCACTTCCGTGAATTTAACATGCCATTGGTATCCAACAAGCTTTGAGCACTAGTACCACAAGAAACAATGAGATAAAGCGGCGTCAAATGGTAAACAGAACTTAACTAAACCGATAAAAGAAAAAAAATTAATTTTAAAATTATGAAATACAGCCTATCAGAAAACAGTTAACAACACTGAGCCACAATAGTTCTTCTCAATACATTAATAACCTTATTTTATGTAAATTTATTCCCATAAAATTAAATCATTCAAGGATTTTATAGCATGTGCAAACGTGCCTTTGTCCTATGCTTGGTATTAACAAACAATTTCAAGCATCTTGTCAAATTTCTATCTCTCTTCCTGGATTTTAAGACAAAGGAAAATGTAAGGAAGGAAATCATAAATGTAATCATGCAATCTTTTCATTTGTTTCCTCTTGGATAGAAACTACACAATTTTTTACTTAAGAAAAGCTTAAATATGTCTGGAAACTTTCTTTTCAAATTTGAAGATGTGCATTTCCCCCCCATACAACTAAGCCAACATAATAGACATTGAACAGAAGCAACTGTTTTTGCTAATAACCTCACTTCCAGTTCATAAGTGGTATAATGTAAGAATTCAAATTTACTTCGGAAATCATCCAGACTTTACCCAAGTTCGTTCACAGAATTAAATACCGAAATGATTTTCAATGCCAAGCCCAATATGTTTCCAAATATTATGATTCACTAGATATGCATGGCCATTTAAATAAGTAATGTGAACAGTAAATAATTAATTGCTTTTAAAGCCTACACTAAAGTTCATTTTTTTTGTTAAATCTAAAGCAATACCATACAATACTACACTGTATAGTGGGGCTTATAACAATATTAACCCCACCATTAGAAAGAAAGAATTCAATGGCAAATCTTAGTCTCCAGTCCATTACTGACAAAAAAGTAATATCATGAACAAAGTGTGGACTGCAATAACCTACTTTGTTTGACAGAATTTCGTGAAGAGCAAAGAAAAGGAAAAATTCTAGCTGATATTAAGACATTCAGATTTATCCTTCCAAAACAACACAAAGAAGATATGGCTTAACCATTATCTGTTAAAATGATGATGATGAAATAATCGATTCAACTATTAAAGAACATTCACAATGAGTAGCTGTACTTCATAAAAATAATATTTCTTATAATTTCGGTACATTTTTAGACATGTCACAGCATGACTAAATCTGTATAAAATGATTGTAAAAATACTTAAATTATATTTTCAAGGAAACGTCAATACCAAAAGCTGTGAATTAAACATTTCATTGTTATATATGGCAACAAAAGTTTATTGATCACATGCAGGCCTTTCTACTGAATGATTAAGTAAACCAAAATGTTTAACTGCCTTCAATTCCCCTGTGAATTATTAGCACATTTATTCCCCTAGCTTACCAAGCCTCAATTCTCCGAAGTTTCCACATCCTATCTTCTTTCCAACTCTGAAGTTTGGCCCAACCATCAACACACCCGAGCTACTGGATCCACTGTGCCTGGTAGCATGCATGTTAGTTCTTGTTCCTCCAGCACTTGTACGAGAAACTCTCTTCGCAGCGTCTTCACGGGTATCTTTTTCTCTGTCCCTCCCGTCGCGTTTCTGCATGCTGAGGAACACTTAAACCATGTAAAACGAATCGGCGGTGAAAATGGCTGCTCTTGTCACAGGTAGGCCATAGGCCTACGGAGGGTAATTGCAGCCATGGAATTAATCGTTGCACACTGTTGGCTCATCCAAACATTTACATCACCCAAATGTACATGACAATTACAAGTATCCAGGTTTCTTGTAATTGTATACATTCGAATCATTGCTATTTACTTTTCACCAAATGAGAGTAACAGCAGACATACAACGAACACATCCATTACCTCCTCCTCCTCCGCAAGACTTCCAACCGAACGCGGAATGATACCAAAATAAAACGTAGAGATCAGTTGTGATTAACACTTTGTAAATAAAGGAAGTAACGAGTTCAACTGAGAAATCATCACGAGAAAGCACTGTAGAACAATCAATTTCTAGGATATCAAATAATAACTTAGATTGCTAAAGCAATAGCAAAATGTGTCCACCATGATACACTTCAACACGTCTGATTTATCGTGAAAGTCAAGTCATCCAGAAAGTTAAAAATCATTATTTGACGTTTTCTCCGAATACGTTCCATATCTGGCATTCACGTCGTCGATCTAATTACAGTTCATTAATAATATGGATTATCAAGAAAAGATCAAGTAAAAATCTACGAGTCGAAGTTTTCAAAACACGTTTATATGTGTGCATGTATATATTTACTCTATGGAAAACACTAGTGGTTCAATTTAGCAATGCGATACATTGAACAGTAACCAAGGGAACGTAAACATCCATTATGGTGCAAACTAAAGTTGTTGAACTTATATTTATTATTATTATTTCATACCTGTCATCTAAAAAAACAATATTCACTCAATTGTAGTGAAGAAGGTTTCTCTATGGATTCGATAAAGATGTCCAGTAATCAAGTAATTCTCGGAGTAAAAGCCGGTAATACATTTAGTAAAGTAATAAAAATTATTAAAATGGAATAAAAGGTCTCCATGTTACAAAAATACCTATATACTAAAATTGATTAATCTGATAAATAATAAAGGTATATGATACAATAAAACTGATTAATAATTATTTCGCCTTATACTTTAGGAAGAGGATTTGGATTCTTAAACAAATCATTTATAATAGAAGCTAATTTAAATGGTCATACGATAAAAACGGACTTACTTCAACCTTCCCACAACATCTCAATAGGCGCAGAACTTCTCTGGCAAGCGGAAAAAAAAGTTCTCAAGAGGTAAGAATATCATTCAAATTTCTAATAATACAACTACAAAATATAAACTTGTGGTGCCACAGCTTGCCACGGACTTTCTCGTACTAGTTATTTTCCTAATCGCTTTTGTCTGTGCTAGCGTTTCAGTTTTGTCCCACCCTCTTCCCACCCAGACAGCTTGCCGTCTATTGGCTCTGAAAATACATTTTCTCAGTGTGAAATCTCCTAGAAATAAAATTGAAATGTGACTTTAAGAATATTATAGAGAAAAAAGATAGTTCTATACACAAACTAACTTTGAAAAAATCTAAACATTAACGACGAAAGAGATTCGTAAAATTACATTTGCGTTTTAAAAAAATCAAAATAATGAATCAAAAAGGCGTTATGCCACACTATTTAGTGCATTTAGTATTATCCGTGCAAAAATTTTACAGAAAGTATTAGGAGTCATTTTGAGAAAATCTTGTTTTTATTATTGCTCCAAGTTCACTCAATACAGCGCGAATATAAAATTGTGAAAAAATGAGACTTACGCCTCCTTTTAAAGAGTCCTTAGTTTTATCCGAGAAAAAAAAGAATTGAGCCAGTTTTAAAATCGAAATGTATAAATTATCTTTAGTTCATGAAAACAATATGCAAAAACTTCTAAAGTATAAAAAAACTGTACATAACCTTTTTTAAAGATCTAATTTTGTAGAACATATTGCTTTAAGAAAACAAGGGGCTTTCCAAATGTAACTGGTTCATCTATCTCAGATTCAGATTTATTAAAAAACACAACAGTAAAAACCTGTATGTAACGTATGGGAGAGAAGATCACCTACGCACCTTTTCTTGAGTTCCAGAATCTCTTCCCATCATTTTATCTCTAAATAGTTAAAATATGACTAAAAGAAATAAATAGTAAGGCGGAAGAGCAGGCTAAATGGCTGGAGCCTCGCCATCAATAAAGACTATTTATTTATTTATTAGTTATTTATTTATGTAAATAAATACAATTTAAAAACGCGCAAGATTAGGAACGTTTGAAAAGGTAGACATGTTCGTTTCCGAGTTATACAAAACGTATTTCCAACGGTAAACAAACAGCAGAATTGATTTTTCTGCATTACTAACAAATTAGTAAGTCGCCCGTATCTCTACTCCTACCATTATAAGCAAAAGGAGAGTTCAACAAAACGTGCGCATAGTGAAGCTACGTTTACGTCCAGAAGCAAAACAAGGGGTCAACTCAGCTTTTGCTCAATGGATCAGGGAAACTGGACAATGGAGTCATGGGGACCTGGAAGCTGAAGTACATTATTTGTTACAAACATATTAGTATTTTTAAATCATTCAATAAAATTTAAAGTAATTCAATATATCACTTTTTTTAAATAAACATAATTTTTTATTTTGATAATCAGTATTGTCTCTGATTGTACAGAAAGAGTTATGCGGCAAAAAATATTTTACTTTTAACTTAAATTTGTGTACCGGCTTAAATTGTTTAATGTCATCTGGCAATGCATTCTAAAGTAACGTACTAGAACGGAAAGTAGATCTAACACATTCAGTTTCATTTCAGCTGTCTGTGTGCAAAGTTACGCTTCGCTGGTACTGACTGTATTCTTTCTATGAGTGTTTATGATGTTCAAGAAAATAGAGAACGCCGCCATTTGTGAAATTAGGGCTGTGATTAGGATTCTCAATACAAGAAATGTGAAACCTTGCGATATTCATTGTCAACTGAAGGAGGTATACGGAGACAATGTTATGGATGAGTCATCTGTTCTGCGTTGGCGTCGTAATTTCAGCTTGGGCAGCGAGAACCCCCATGATGACGGGCGTCACTCATTACGGACGAACTGCTGAGTTCAATTAACGAATTCGTGAGGGACGATTGTCACGTGACTTGACTGATGAGATCAGTGAGAATTTTCGCAATATTTCACGAACAGTTATTCATGAAATTGTTAAGGCCCACCTTCATTTTGCGAAGATTTGTGCAAGATGGGTCCCTAGCATGCTTACTGTCGAACAAAAAATTACCCCAGGCATCACACGGCTCGGATAACAGAACAACTTGTGCAACAATTCAAATGGGAAAGTTTCAATCATCCACCCTACAGCCCAGACTTGGCACCCTCAGATTTTCATGTTTACAAAGCTCAAGGACTTTTTGGAACGAAAGAAATTTGAAAGTGATGAAGAACTGAAAGCAGCTGTGACTACATATTTCAATACCCTGGCGGCAGAGGAGTACGAAGCTGGGATACAAAAACTCGTCACGCGCTATGACAAATGCTTAAATTTGCAAGGTGACTATGTGGAGAAGTAGTTTAAAGTATGTTCTTTACAAACAATTCATTAATATTTATTAAAATTTACTAGTTTTTTCTTATTCCAAAACGGGTACTACTTTCCGGATGTCCCTCGAACATGTATCGTATGTGAATTTCTGAAAGTGAGCTGTTAATACTGATACGTGATGAACGTGCAGATTCTTAAATAAATAGGAAAGGCAATGTTAATATTCCAAGCTCAATGAAGAGAGGCTTGCAAGGATCACGCGGATTATTCGAATAATTTTCTTTTGCAATCTAAAGGTCTGAATACTACATGATGATCGTCCCCAGAATATTATGCCATATATCAGGCGGGAAAGCACATTTGCAAAATACACACAACGAGCTGCATCAAGGCTGACAGAATTTTAGATAATTCTAAATTTCATAACTTTGCGGCTCTGCCACTTAAAAATTCATGAAATTGTTTCCGAAGATATGCCTAGGTTATTAAAAACCACATATTTAGATTTCTGTTAATTGTAAAACTAATTATGGCAATGGAGTTATAGGCAAAAATATTTTGACAAACAATATTAAAAATTGGATAGGATATGACACGACTTGATCCTTCTCCTTATATCGTTGTAAAAATTCCTGTTAAGTTCTTCAGAGTATAGTCTTACATTTTAGAGTTTTAATGAGTGATAGTTCAGTTCAGCAGTTCCATTTAAGACATTTAAAATATCTTCACCAATCACAAACGATTAACTACGAACCATTTAAAATGATTGAATGCAAAAATTCTTATCATTCACTCTATTTATTTATTTATTTATTTATTTATTTATTTATTTATTTATTTATTTATTTATTTATTTATTTATTTGTTTGTTTATTTGTTTGTTTGTTTGTTTGTTTTACGGCATGAACAGTTGAAAACTACATGTGACGTGTAACTGGAAGAAGTATTTTTTGTGCACGTTTTCTTAATTCTGGGATACCCTAAGTCATAGGCAAGTTGAATTCTGAATAAGAAAGAAATGAGCAGTTTTGACAAGAATTGTTAACAAAATATTCGCTCGGAGATTATGCACTGTGGCACAAAAAACAAGTCTTCAGCAATGAGAAAAAGATAATGCAAAAGAGGCAAGTTTGTTAGCAAGTGCGCTAGGAAAAACTATTGCCGAGCTCGTGTTGACTTAAACCAGTGTTGATGAGATTTGGACAATATTAAGTGTACAGTTTAAACACAGCAGTACGCGCAGCAGGACGACTGAATATGCCGATCGAGTCATTTTTTCGCGTGACGACAAAGACGACATGAGTACGCACGTTGCGAAACTGAAGTTGTTCGTGGATTTGAATGATGAACATACGATGAATGAAGAAAATACTTTGTCCGAGAGGATTTTGAATGTCCATTTCTTATCTACGCTGGGAAAAGAATATGACAATTTTAAAAACTCGAACACGATTTCGTCGGAAAATCAAACTGTGAATCATGCGATGAATCAACAAGATTGAAAAATTGTGCGCGATTGAATTGCGTGATCAAGGGAATGTGAATCGATTGTGTTTGTTGCACGCGGTTGTCTAACAAGGAGCTTTGTCATAAAAGTGACCCCAGGGAAAAATCAAAGAAGAATGTTCAACGTGCAAAACATAAGTTTCCATGCCACAAATGCAAGCAGATGGATCATTGGGCAGCAGTGTCCGGAGATGAAGATAGATGGCGCTGCTGGAAACATAATGTAACGTTTCTCCGTGGTGAATTAAAACCAACTGGTATTATTTAAACAAAAACGTTTATTCGTGAACAATTATACACTAAAATCTACTTGGTCTATTTACAGATATATTACACTTAATTATTTTTCTTTACACACGACTCCGTTCTCTTGATGATTTATTTACACAGTTCACTTCTTACACACTATTTATTTACAACGTTCTCTTCTTCTTCAGTATCACCCAGACCGATGCCCTGTCCACGGTCCACTGCACTGACCCAATTCCCTGCGCAGACCACAATTCCCTGCGCACACCAGGGTCCACTGCACTGCTGTTTACCACGATGCACCCTTCACAGCTTAGCTTCCACTGCAGACTTCAGACTGCTGACTGCTGTTCACTCACTGCACCACTGTTCACCGCAATGCACACTTTTCAACACAGCTCCCACTTCGGACACACTGACGGACTGACTGCTTATTCCC